AACGTCGTGATTTATTATTTTAATAACTACCGATTGATCAATTGGTGTCGCACCTATTATGACTGCTGCGTCGACAGAGGAAGAGTTGTGGGGAGTACGACTTCACAAGATTGGGTATCGCCTGATGTTTCTGGCCGTTGTAATCACCAGCCAAATGTCGTACTCGAATTGTAAACGTCGCGGGTTTACCCTCCAACACACCGGTTGTGCCATTGGAACCTGATTTTCCAGTAAAAAATATAATAATTGTTTTTTTACCCTTTTATCTGCCAACAAAACTGACACCTTTTGTTACAAGGAGTCATGGTTGCATAGACCACAATACCTGCAGTCATAATGCAAACAAAAAACATAACTCTGATAATGTATGCACTGTCCTTGAAGTTGATTGGTCCACACCCGAGACAGCTTTTCTTAGAGCCTAGTCTCACATGGTGTTGGACCAGATGACGCCAAAAGGCGCACAACTCAAAGACAATGCATCATCAGAGTATGAGAGCTCGGGGTAAGCATTTACACCATTGTAACCTCATTTGCCAGTAAAAAATATGATAATAGTTTTTTTACCCTTTCATCTGGCAACAAAACTGACACCTTTTTTACAAGGAGTCATGTTTGCATACACCGCAATACCTGCAGTCATAATGCAAACAAAAAAACATAACTCTGATAATGTATGCACTGTCCTTGAAGTTGATTGGTCCACACCCGAAACAGCTTTAGCAGAAACTCATGAGCACGTGTTGTTAACGTGACAAACCTTACTAATTGGCCGTGTCGGGTGGTAGTGGTGGTGGCGGGTTTCACGACGCATTTATATTTGCTCGGTCCAACCCAAAAAAAACACTTTATTACGGAGAATATTGGTCGTGAAAGCCTACTGCGTGTCCAACTGGCGAGAGTAAGTTGGTTCAAGTGTGGGGCACAAGCTCCAAGCCCCACCGGGATAAGTCGTCTATGAGGACGACGCGACATATTTTTAAATCCTTTATATTAAGTTCACTTGCTTGCTTGCTTGCGCGCTTACGACCGTGCAAATCTTTCGGTCGTTTTTTAACCCACTTCTTGTGATCCAATCGAGCTGACATTTTGCACACAGACTCGTTGTGCGTGACAATTTATTTTCGTGAAAAAATGTTTCCAAAATTTTACACTTTTAGGGGAAAAAATATATATATTTAATTACCAATTGCTTAGTGATGGCAGGCAATCATCTGACCCATAGGTGGCAGCCATCTCAAGCCAGAGGACGAGAGGACTCTAGCCGCCCGTTTCAAAGACCAATGTGGGCTGGGTTGTGGCCCATTGAACACGCATATAAAGGATTTATAGTGAAAAACTTTGTTTTTACGGGTTAATTTTTTTACGAGTACATCTGACACAGACTCAGCTTCCCCATACGTCCCTGCGCAGTTGTAACCGCTTGGCCAATAGTGACCACTGGCTATGACACGAGGCTCGAAAGACGCAGTGACATGGCCCAGCGGTAGCGCGTTCGTCACTTTGGTTGAAGAGGTTCGCGGTTCAAAACCGGCAGGCCGCCCTGATTATTACTGCCGGTGTAGTAGCCATGAAATATGAGCTGTATGCCTCACAGTGGACGTTTAATGATCCCCTGACGTCGTTCGAAACGAGTAGGCCATTGTGTGTCGGCATGATGGTTCAAATTTTCAAAACTATTACAATTACCCGCAAAACTACTCACTTGGGATTACACGCAGCAACATCAGCATCAGCATCATAGCCACCTCCTGTGAAACTACTGCAGACTGTGTCTGTGAAACACCAGTGCCTCAGCTTAGCACTCTAAGAATGACAGCACCAAAATTAAATGTACTGAATCATCATAATGTCAACCTATGTTATTAAATATAAAAAGTGTATTTTTTTTTTATGTCTGGCTAGCATGCACCACCCAGCACGCAATCGTGACTGGCTGGAGGCCATGCAACACACTCCATCCATCTCTCCGTGTCTCCCTTCATGTGTGCCTCTCTCCAATGTCTCTCGCCACGTCTCTCGCCATGTCTTTTTTCATCTCTCACCATGTGTCACTTTCGGTGTCTGTCTTTGTGTCTGTGCCTCTCTCTCTCTCTCTTCACGAAGGGTCCAGATATCGCAAAGCTACTACCTCTGCTATCCATTCAAGCGACCCTGGCTATCCACACATCTTAAGGGCCGCTTTATCTTTCCATATCTGATCGCGAGACGGGGAAAATGCCCATCGAATGGCAGTCCAAACCCCATATTTCTCATTCTCGGAAGTAACGTTTATCCAAATTTAGCGAAAATAAAATTGAATACGATGGGATTTCTTTGGTGCAGTTATTGGTAATCGGAGATGAAACGATCAACCCCCCCCCCCCCCCCATCGATACGAGAACCCGCTTGAATCGTGGGCCTGCCCGCACCGTGCCGAGGGTTTCGGCGATTGCCGGTTCGGCGTTCCGCTGACCTCTGGACCGCCCAGCCTCCGTCCACAAGGATCAGGTTTGGTATCATTCTTTGGTTCTTTAGGTAAAGCCACGTATAAAGATAAAATAATAAATTAAATTAAATACTAGCATACGACGTTTCGATTGCAACACAAGCAATCGTCATCAGGTCTAAATTAAATAGAAACACAAATCTAGTATACTTAGAAATGTAATGTAATACAACAGAGAGTCGGATAACATAACAGTCAACACCCTGTCTGGTTGATTACGTTCTTCCTGAGAATGCTACATTACATTTCTAAGTATACTAGATTTGTGTTTCTATTTAATTTATACCTGATGATTGCTTGTGTTGCAATCGAAACGTCGTATGCTAGTATTTAATTTATTCTTTTATCTTTATACGTGACTTTACCGAAAGAACCAAAGAATAATTCCTGCAGTCACGAAAGCCATCCTTGATAGTGAAGGTTGAAGTTCCACCGTGCGGCATTGCAAAACAAATTTGCGCGGTGGGCCGCAGAAAAAAAAACGTCCGCAACATGAGAAACTCGCGTGCTTTGTGGGTATCCCTCCCCCCCCCCAAAAAAATGACATGCAAATTATGTGGACATGCAAGTCACTGATATATTTAGCCTAACCTTTCACAAATAATTGGGTACATACGTACCGACTGGCGGTGCCAGTGACGGACATAAACCGTCACGTGGTGACCGAGACGGGTGACAAAGTTGAACTCTGGCACACATGGCCACGCTTATTTCTCGCGATGTGTCTTTCGGGTCGTACCACCGCATGTCGTCGGATCACGACGTCCTAACGAAGCAGGCGAGAGCTACGCGTGTTTGGCGTTGCACCGTTTCCAAAATAACCTGAAATAAAAATAATAAAATACAAGCGAGGCGTTTTCACTGAAAGCTTCAAATTTATTTTTTTCCACTTTTCCTCTAGGAGAATCGTAATTATCAGAGCCTGAGTTCAAATTTACTTGATTAGCTTCCTCCGCTATTATTATTGATCGTCATTATCGTCATTATTTGCTTTACAATCATGACTGCCTATGACCAAATCATCCAGAATATGCGCCAACTCATCATATTTCTCATGAAGCTAAGTTGTGTTGAGCCTGGATAGTGCTCGGATGGGCGATCACTATGCACACATAACAGGTGTCATATGCTGCTGCAGGACTGCCACGTGGGCAGCAGAGGAAGCAGAACTCCATTGTTGTACTGTACTCTTACCCGAACGTCAAACGACTCGCACTGACCAGGGTGGTGAAGTATGGCGAAATAACCCACGTCGTGTTGAGAGGCCCTCATCCAGCAGTGGATTGACAAATGGGCTGTATGTCAGCATGATCGTCAATACCAAAAACTGTTGTTTAAACAATATGCCCGACCAAAACCAATTCTTATTTACAGTCATCATAATCGTCGCTCTAGGGTCGGTCACGCGTTGGCCGTGACTGGGAGTCAAACTCACCCGCCTGGTTCACAACGTAGTGCGCTGACCACTCCGTCACTGCTTAGTCCAAGTTAACCGCCTGCATTATTACTTTTAATTTCATCAGTCACATCAAAAGGGCAAATGTAATATACCTATCATCATAGAACCGATTGAGCCTGGCGTCATTGCACAGAACAGCCCGGGAAGATGACACTACAGAACTACACCATTGGAACCTCATTTGCCAGTAAAAATATGATAAAATTTTTTTCACCCTTCTATCTGGCCACAAAACTGACACCTTTTTACAAGGAGTCATGTTTGCATAGACCACAATACCTGCAGTCATAATGCAAACAAAAAACACATCTCTGATAATGTATGCACTGTCCTTGAAGTTGATTGGTCCACACCCGAGACAGCTTTCCTTAGAGCCTAGTCTCACATGGGTTGGACCAGATGACGCCAAAAGGCGCACTATCACTGCAGGTATTGTGGTCTATGCAAACATGACTCCTTATAAAAAGGTATCAGTTTTGTTGCCAGATAGAAGGGTAAAAAAACCAATTATAACTACAGAACTAGTCCGGAAGACTGTGCAGAGAGACTTGAGAGATAGAAAAATGTACCTGTGTATCAGGCCAACGAAGATTAAACAGAGACACCGTTGACGAATAAGCATTCGTTTAACAAGCCTGACTGCCGATGAGGCCCAACAAGTCAAAACCGGTCCAGAGTTTGGATGCTTTAACTAACGCTGCTGGATAAACACGCATCTCGAAAGCCAATCGACTCACGCGCCGTTTGTGTATTAATATGCGGTGACGCAACATAGGCCTGCTTGTGTGTGTATATATAATCATTTAATCAGAGTAAATAAAACCTGCGCTTTGTTTTGTCAAACCAGCCCTGTGGATTCCATTAACTCCTTTCCTTCTTGCGGTCTGGTGTGACTGGTAAGTCGGCAGCCATTTCTGAGGTCACTTCTGGGTTCAAGGTGCAGAGAAACGCGTGCACTTCGGTCCACCTGAAACCACCGGCAGAGTCTCCGTGCGGGGCAGGGTTTTTTATTGGACAACTCGAGCCCAAAGGTGCTCTTTGATACCCGCGAGCGGTCGGATGGGCTGGGCAGAAAACGCGCAGCTGGGAGACGTCACGCGGGCATCGGGAGGGCACTCACGCACACACACGCACACACGCGCGCACACGGCTCACTCGCAGAGGCATCAGACATGGAGCCATCTCTGCCCGAATAGTACGGCGACTGCGTGAAGCCACAGTTCACGTTACATCGCTCTCATTATTGTTGGAAAAGATTTTTTTTTTTAAATTGTGTTTTTTCGTGTTGGAGTAGCCAGTGGTGTTGTTGTCGGAGAAGACGACCCGGTGTTTTGGAAATTCAAGCTCGCAAGACTCGGCAAAGACAGGTGAGGGCTGTTCTTTTTTAGTTGTTTACACCGTGACTGCTGCTGCAACTGCTGCTGCTGCTGCTGCGACGTCTCGATTACTACTGCTCACGGTTTAAGAGCGACTGCATATTTCAGTGCTCAACGCTTGTGAAGGGGGGCATGTGGTGGTGGTGGTGATGGGGGGAAGAAAAGAATCAAACCACGCTCCATTGGCGAGTGGTGGCAAGGTGCTCAAATGGTTCTGACAAGCCAGCCAGCCTCGGCCAGCCTCCTGTAAACCTTAACGCAGCGGCAACTCGAGGAATTTGTAAAATTCGCTGGGTGGTGATGACTGTGGTGGGTGGGTGGTACGGTCATTGCGTGTCCTCCCCACGCACGTTTTGTGGCGCGGGGTATATGTGTGTGTACGTTGCACGTGTGTATAAATGTAGTTGCTTCAGCTCCATACTATTAACATTCCTTCCCTTTATTAATGCTAACTCTACTCCCTTCCTTTGATGCTGCTAATCCTGCATAATGCACGGGCATAATATGACTTTGAAACCCCCCGCCCACCTCCTAGGCATTTCACAAGTAGTGACTAATCCCATATCTGCATTTCCAATAAATATGCTAAATTCCTCTTGATATGCAAATTCATTTGTCAAGGCGCTCTTCCCCCTCCAACCCAGCTTAAATATACGCTTCCAAGCCTGGTGGTGTTCATTCAGACGCTGTCTTTCTGACAGACCTGGTCTTCACCTGAGGACGGCTGCTTGCGTTGTGGCCGAAACGTCGTGAGAATTGTATTTTATAATGTTTTATTTTTATTATTTTATTATTTCCCTTCTACGTGACTTTACCGAAAGAACCAAGAACATATAAATGTGTCGTTAAAACCCGCCACCGCCCAACACAGCCCCCATCGGTAAGGTTTGTCACGTAAAACGGAACGTGGCCAATTCGTCACCAGCAACGACACACCACTTGTGTCGGAGAGCAAATCCACAACATTTACAATTCGAGTTCGACGTTTCGCCAGTAATAACAACCGGCATCAGCAGGCGCCGGCCACATGCACGTATATGTGTGTTAAACTTCTTTCGCACCGTACGTATCCCGACCGTGCTTATGAGGTTGGTGTGTAGCGAAGGGTCGTGTTAGGCACCGTCAGCGTGGTTGGCCTTTGCGGTGTCGATACAAGAGCTCGAATAGACGCGGGGTAGTGATTTATTGATGGCGGAGATGCACGCGAGGTGACGGATGACAGCACGAGATGTTTCGGGAGAGGTTTTGAACGACGGAGCCTTCGCCCTGATCGTATGTTGTTGTGCCCACGTGACCGCGATATTACCATGCCGTTTGATTAACAGAAGCTGACCCGTGATAATGGCAGCTTTCATACATATTGTCAAATCGCTGCACGGTTTTTTTTTGCTGTTTAAAGCTTATTACCCATTAAACTAAAAGTCAAGCATGGACTATTGCGGTAGTTAATTTCATTGTCTTGTACTGTTGACCTACCACGTGTGCTCGAAGCGTTATGGATTTTAAGGTGACAATGAATATAACGCTTATGTTTGGGTGAACTGCCGTTGAATAACTTAAAGATGTTAGGCCCCCTACATGTAGAGCCCGTTTTGTAAATTCACTGCTGGGTGAGGAGGTGTCCACTCCTCGCGACCCTGAGGGGCCTTTGTCCATACTTGACCACGCCGATTAGTGCCCGTTCCCCGTTGTGAACAACGCCTATGACACCTACCTATTACACCTACCTATGACACCTACCTATTACACCTACCTATGACACCTACCTATGACACCTACCTATTACACCTACCTATGACACCTACCTATTACACCTACCTATGACACCTACCTATTACACCTACCTATGACACCTACCTATGACACCTACCTATGACACCTACCTATTACACCTAACTATTACACATACCGATTTCCGCACGGTGATTACACACCCAAGCACTGTCCAGGTCCAAGGCTGCTTAGCCTCCGAGTTCTGATGATACAGTCATGCTGGGTAATGTGGTCTATGTTGGTCATCTTTATTCGCGCTGGAAGTTTAAGTTAAAAAAATGTTTTATTTAACTCGTTGGCAAGAACTCAAGGAGACCAGAATACATTGCATGGAAGTATGGCAAGGCGCAACAACAATGTGGATATCAATCTTGACTTAAAGCTTTCGTGACTGCAGGAATTCATATTCTTGGGTCTTTCGGTAAAGTCACGTAGATAGGTTCAAAGAAAATAACAAAAAATAGCAAAAAACTACGACGTTTCGATCGCAAAACAAGCAGTCGTTTTCCTGAAGACGAACGCTTTGTGTTGCGATCGAAACGTCGTAGTTTTTTGTAATTTAATTTGAACCTATCTACGTGACTTTACCGAAAGACCCAAGAAAAATGCGGATTCAATGTCACACTTTTGGGAAGCTGGCATCGTGACAATCGTCATATCATCGTGAAATATTATTAGGAGTGGTGCACAAGCGTAATTAACAAACCAAAAAATTACTCAACACATTCATCGATAACACCGTGACCTTAAGAGTAAAAATATACGTGACCATTCCACAATGGTCCTTCATATCACATGAAGGGCGCATTTATGCCCTATGAAGAAGAGCCATCTGCCCGAAACGTCAATCGGTACGTTTCCTTATTAAGGCCACAGTCTTATTGACGATTGTATTGATGTTCATTTACATGACTGTGTGAAAATTGAGATGTCGTTTCGGGACAATGATATCACAGGCAACCCTAGCGAGCTTGCGGCGTCGGTCACATGACACGCGGAGTCAAGTAACTGGTCTCTACAGCAGTGCTCGTTAGCGGTCCTCATCCGAAGGTGGAAATTCCAGATTTCAATTGTGGGGGGGCCCATCCTCCTTCAGTTTCATTTATTTGGTATTAGCCCTGTGAGCCATGCGGCTCTTAGATCGGGTGCAACCGCAACAAACAAAAAAACATAAACAAGAAAACATCTTAAAGTGACTATGCGCAAATAGAAAAATCCAGGAAAAAAACTCTTACTACTTGTAGAACACCGTAATGGAGCTTAATCCCGTAAAGTGGAATTAATTTGACCTACACTGGAGGAATCATGAGCGACGTCAAGCCCCTATTTTGTTAGTGTTTCGAACTTGCGACTTTCCAAATGATTTGGGTTAATACAACGGTCAATAGCCAATAAGAATTAAAAGTGGCAGCCTAGGAATGGAACGCGTCTGAGAATTTTCCCTACCACCGAGGAGATGGAGCGACGAAAGCCAATTCACGATGCAGGTGCCGGGTGGATCGTTAACATCGGCAAGGTTCGTGAGAGGTTTGCCGGTGGTTTCGGGAAGTTTTCGTCCATCCAAGGACTTTACCCTACCCGACTTGCATGTCGCCAACCCACACTGACCAGCGTCACGTGACGCCTCGTCTAGCAGTGGAGTGCCACAGGCGCTGTGCACGTGCAGACACCGTGGCATTAGAATTAAACACGACTGCAATTCGCGCTTTATTTAATCGGGGGAGGTGGGTGGCGAGCGAGCGAGCGAGCGACGGACGTACGAGATATGATACCCTTCTTGGACTATCTTCGAGTACAATATTAAGTTACGCGGACAGGCATTATTTGTTTTATTTGACCTACTGTATGTGCACGCTCAGTTTTAATTTGGCCCCATATATACCGTATATATATTTTTTTCAAATTACTGTATATTCGAATTTGTCGCAATGTATTCTGCGGCGTATATTTATGACCGGCGTAAAAATAAAAGCAAAAATCGCTTAACGATTATATGTTTTTTCACCGATGTCTATCCTTGCCGTCTGAATTACTCTGTGGTATTGTTACCGACGGCTCCACGCGGGGTCCATCGCGTGGTGCAGGGAATGAATTAATTAGTTGCCGGTTTCAGTCATCACTCGCAACTTGATCAATCAGCCTCGGCCAGAAATCGATCTCGTCGATTAGCACGGTTGGCTACGTACGGTGCCGACAGAAGTTCAACACGCAAACTCGTGCGTAACAGCCGCATCGTGTGCTCACCACTGGGCCCTTCCCTCGACAATCATCAAAATATAAAGACGCAGCCCTCCAATTTTTTGCTCAAGCCGCGGCTGGCGTAAGAGCCTGAGCTAATCCAAACAAACACCCCCTCGACTGTGCCATTCTGGCCAAAGCTAAATGATTCAATACGGGTCACTGTGGAATGTCTTGGTTGACAACAAAACGTACAACAAGCGGTGTTCTTGACGAACAACCGAGGGGAGGAAAAACAACTGAGTAGACTTTGTCACCGGCTGTATACGTGCCGTGTGTGTGTGTGTGTGGACAAGTAGGTCTGCGTGCGAAGCGGCACGAGAACTATTTTTGGTCATAGACTAAAAAATAAAAAAATGTATATTCATACACCTGTCAACCCCCATATCAGTGCCCTACCTTATTACAGACCTTACTGGTCACCCCCCGTGCCCCTTATCAATCTCAACGTTCATCCTACAAAGACCCATCACAAGGAAGAAACTCAAACAAATAGACACCAATTTTTCGATTTAAAGCTTTCGTGACTGCAGGGATTCATCTTCTTGTTTCTTTCGGTAAAGTCACGTAGAAGGGAAGTAATAAAATAATAAAAATAAAACATAATAAAACAATTCTCACGACGTTTCGGCTACAACGCAAGCAGCCGTCTTCAGGTGAAGAATGAGACACTACCAAACTAGGAGCTTATATATAAGCTGCATTGGGGGTTGAAGAGCGCCTTAACAAAAAGAATGTGCATGTGAAGAGGAATTTAGCATATTCATGGAAAATGCGTAGGCGTTGGGCGGGGGGGTGTCAAAGTCATATTATGCCCATGCATTATGCAGGATCAGCAGCAACCAAGGGGGGTGCAGGGATTAGCAGTAACAAAGGAAAGGAATGTTAATGATATGTAGCTGCAGTTACTCAACAACCACGTAGAAAAACTAAAGTATAAACTACATAAAAAACTAAAGTATAAACTGCATCGCACCATC